CGCTATGTGGTGGAGAACATTCTCAGTCACCGCCGCCGGCAGAATCAGCTTCAGTACCTAGTCAAGTGGCAAGGCTACTCTGATGCCACTTGGGAGCCTGAACATTATTTGTTGGATGAATCTGGTAATGACATTGTTCCACTTCAGAAGTACAAAACCTTGGCTTCTGCCCGCTGAGTTTTGCAGTTGAACTTCTAGTTTCACCTTACACATTTGTTGAGCTTATTACACTTTATTTGCATGGAGTTTCAGTCGTCTTATTGTGTTACTTCAGTGCGAAGCCTTTTTTCGTCTCGCACGTGTTTGCGCTTATTGTACTCTATTCCACTTGAGCATTTGGGTTATAAGCTCCTTCCTCTCCATAGGAGGGGGATGATGTAACAGTTTTCCCCTGTTCTCTATAACTTTACACTCCCTCGCACCTCATGCGTCTTACGCCTGTCTATTAGCACCTTCATTGGCGCCATTGCCACATGTATACTATCACATTTTGCATATAACTGGTCGAGGCACGCTCAACCAGGCCTCTTACTTTTCAAGTTTGATTAAACCTGTTACACCATGTACCCCTTGTGCCTGGCCACAAGTTCCCAGTTGACTGTGGGTAGCAGCACGGCTGGAAAAACCGTTCCCAGGCAGGACTTCATTGCTGCTTCGAAATGTAGCTAGACCGTTTTGTCAACTTTCTTACGGGTTTCGTCATCGTCCAGTAACTATTGAAGTGCTTTGTTCCGGTGGGATTGTAGCTTGTGCTCGTTTTTGTTGCGCTTACCTTCCCCTCTTTTGTCTCTCCTTAACCTTGAACCTTCCGAGTTGGATGGCTGTTGGTTAGTGCTACGGAGATGTGTCGAAGCTAGGTGGCAGGACGTCGAATGTCTCAGCACGCTGTCCGTTTTGTGCCTAACGTTAGGTGTTGCACTTTCTGACTGTATATAGTATCTAGTTAAAGTGATGGATAGTTACTCTTCAGGTAGCAGCCTGGTCGTAAATTTCATATGGCATTCAATTGACCGTAACTTTGGTGTCTCTCAATGGATTTCAGTGAAATCTTCATCACACCATGTCCATTTCCTTTCTACATTAATATTGGCTCAACATCAAAACCTCAGCCTTCCTCCCCATCTCGGCAGGAGTACCCCAGGGCTAAGTCCTGGGACCACTGCTGTTTCTGTTACACACCATCGACCTGCCTGCTGCTTGCGAGAATGCCAGCACTAGCCGCAGCCAGTTTGCCGACGACACAACCCTCCTCTGTTCCAGCAGCTCTGCCTCGCACTGCGAACTGCAGTGTGTCAGCCGCGGATGGTTGGTAGCAGGGCTGGCACCTTCTCAGCAAAACTGCATAAACGGTAATCCTCACCTTCTACGGAAATCGCCCCCACACCTCACCCCTCACCATCACGCATAGAGCTAAACAATGTACATCTCAGAAATGTCCAGCAACATCGCCACCTCGGCATCATCTTTCAGCACGACCTCAGATGGACAGCCCATCTTGACTTTGTGCTGAAGAAAGCCATAAAATCATTTTTAAATATTCTCTTTAGGCTCAAGTCAACTCTACGCAATAAATCACTCTCCCTCTCATTAATTTTACCAAACACATACCGGTATCCTGCCTATAATTGAATGCATGCATTGCGACCGGCGGATTCTGCTCGAAAAGGTGGCAGATTCTGCTCGAAAAGCAGTAAAATTGGCAGAACCATACAAACCTTATGGCGGGCAATTCCTCGAATTCTGCTCCATTTCTTTATCCACATACCAACATGCATGAAACTTACCAGAAAAAGTACCGAATTCTGCCAATTTTCTGCTGGCAGAATCCGCTAGACCCTAATTGCTGGCACCCCGTTCTCAATCACAGCCCTTGACCGCCTTGAGCGAATCCAGCTCAAGGCGGCCAGAATATACCTCCGGCTCCCCCTCTTCACTCCTCTGAATCATTCAGCACTGCTCCAACGGATCAATTGGCCGACAACGTTCTCTCGCCGTTAAGTAAAGCTCACCCCTCTTGGCTTGGGGGTTCTTGCACACTCCATAAAATACCAAAATACCCCACAACACATACACATGCTCAACACCTCGCTCATGTTACGCCCCATTATAGGTTTTTCTAGGAAACTTTTGACACACTCGCACTTGGCACCTGACGCCCAACAGAACCGACCACTATGAAAAATCCCCACTGTACAAGTCCCTAGAATACTACAATGCGCTCCGTGCTAGCAATCGCGATATTCCCTCTCGACTTGCTTTCCAACAAGAAATCTATTCCCTGCTGATTAACTCAATCTCCACTTTTATGTTCATGTATCTATGTCATTTGGATCTTCCCAAGTTGTGCATTGTACTGTTGAGATACCGAATTCAAATAAATAATAAATCAATACCAATCTGCTCCTGCTAATGCAGCGCTCACAATCACCCATACATGTACTTGTAAAATTCAAAGTGGCGAAAATTACATGACAACTGTATCACACGCAGCCCCACTCACAGCTTCTCACCGTCTCATAAACCTGTCTCTTGTTGGCGATGGTGCTGTCATGAGAATAAAGACTTCAAACAAAATAAGCGATCAATGCAATGCATCGAGCTACATGGTTATCAGGCAGCGCGCAAGGAGCGAAGCCAGTAGGCAGCCAGCCAGGAGTGAAAGGTCCTTCAAATAACGCTGTTCAATGGCGACACACATCCACACCACGGCAAACACTTGTTTGGCGCAGAATTTTTTTAATGCAATACAAAATTTAATACTTATGTAGCAGCACCCGAACACTGTACCTGTACGACTGGTCTTGCCTTGTATTGCGTTGTATTGACTGAAGGATTGACAGCTAAAAAGTCGCAAGGTCTATTTTTGATGTCATGGCATGCAAAGAATGCGTGCACGTACGTACGGACAGAATTCAATCGTGATGTTCTTTTTATTGCTGGTATTATTTTTCGGTTTACCGGTATTGATTTTAATTTATTTCAAGCAGGGGTGAGGACGGGATGAAGCCCGTCACAGAACCTGCACAGGAACACCAGCCGGCAGGGTCCTGATTACCCGTACATAAAATGAAAAACCTTGAAAATCATTTGCAGCCTGGGAAACCGCCAACGTCGCAGCAGGCTAGTGAGACCCTCTGAGGCACCCTATACAGGAGGTCAAAAGAAATGCGGCACGTGACAAATGCCATAACCCTCCCTTGCGATTCTCTACGCCTGTCGCCAAACACGATACAATTCCCTTTGACAGGTAGTAGATCGTGATCGCGAATCGGGATACACCCAGCTCAAGCTTATCCACGGCTCGAACAATGTCATTGTTGGAAGCTGGAATAATAATTATTATATCTTTCTCTTTCCAAAGCCCTTACATGGAAGCAATACAGATAATTCGCATACCGTGTGGGATATGAAGTTATCCTTGGTGTCCATCGGCAAAATCACGCGTCTTGCGCATCAGTCAGCACGACACTACAGCATTCATCCCCTTCGTCCTCAGGCCAAGCGATTTGAATGGATGTACACATATCCCACGCCGACGCGCATATCCAGCATTGATGCCGAGACCATTATGGTCGGCAGAGCTTGGTACCGGTATGTCCCAGCCACCCCACTATTTCCTTTGGCGTTTGTAGCTGCTTGCTACGCCCGGAAACCCATTATTGGACTCTTCAGTGTACATTGCCGATAGTAAGTTCCCGTAGGAAGATCCGCTCAGCTACCCATGCGGTGATCGATAGGGCTAGTGATGCACCATCCATACAGCAATGAATGCACTTTAGTTTTGTTCTTTCACCTTCCCGCTGCCAGGGAATATGGGCCAATATGGAGGGAAGGGCGATAGCCAGCCATGGCAGTAAGTAGAAACAATTCAAAACAATGCAAAATTAACAAATTACAAGAGGCAACAATAAAAATCGGGCGAGGCATGTACAGCCCACTGTAACGACTCCCCACTGTACACGTCCCTAGAATACTGTAATGCCCTCAATGCTAGCAATTGTGATGCTCCCTCCCGACCTGATTTCAAACTAATTTTCAGTACTGCGTTCCTCTGCAGCCTCAGAAACCGCCAACATCGCAGGAGGCTCATGATGCCCTCTGACTCTGAGTCTGAGGCACGCTATACAGAAGGTGAAAAGAAATGCGGCACGTGACAAATGCAATGACATGTGCTTGCTTGCGGTTCTCTACGCCTGTCAGCCAACGACGTTGCAGTTCGCTGTGACAGGTAGATCGTGATCGCGAATCGTGATACACCCAGCTCAAGCTTATCCACGGCTCGAACAGTGCCAATGTTGGAAGCTGGGATCTATCTATCTCTTTCCAAAGCCCTTGCACGGAAGCAATGCAGATAATTCACATACCGTCTGGGATATGAAGTTATCCTTGGTGTCCATCGGCAAAATCACGCATCTCGCGCATCAGTCAGTACAACAGTAGAGCATTCGTTCCTTTCGGACTCAGCCCAAGCGACTTGAATGGATGTACATGTACATAAGATCCCACGCCATCCCGCCTATCCAGCATTGATGCCGAGACCATTATGGTCGGCAGCGCATGGCACCGGTATGTCCCACCCACTCCACCATTTCATTTGGAGTTGGTAGCTGTTGATATTGGTTGATAGCTATCATTGGACTCTTCAGTGCACTTTGCCCATTGTGAAGTCCGTAGAAATATCCGCTCAGCTACGCATACAGAGATGGATAGGGCTAGTGACACACCGTGCACGAAGCAATGAATGCAATGATTCTTTGGTGCAGAACCACTTCAGTTGAGTTCGAACTCAACAGCATGCATTCTCTGGCCAACATTCACACCACCGACGCGACTCGAGGTTGTTAGAGATATTGGCGACAAAATAAATTCCCCGGTTACCCTCGTATAATGGTCACAACCTAAAAATAGGTACCACACATCAAATGTATAACATTTCCCATTGAGGTCCGGTACTATCATGTATGGTTCATGCACATGCATATGTACATGCTTGCACTTACCGAGAGGCTGACGAATGTTGTCCGTCCCATGTTTGCCAGCTCGGTCCCCTTCCCGGCGTCTCCAGCAGGTTCAAAGAATACAGAACAACACTAACGCCACTAGAGACGTTTATTATCACGAACTGGTCGTGAATCAATTGACAAAGAATGAACCGATCGGTGTGCAGGACGGTTCGATAATTTTTGTAGACTTCACGAGCAATGATGCCGGTGCAGCAGCGATTACCGTGTGCAGAACAGATACAGCGTCGCTTTCATACGACTACCATTACTCCACTACAAGTTAGTTAGTGACAGCTTGTCGCGTCAAACATACTGCCGCCTCTGGTGGGACGTTGACATATTCTACCGATTTTAGGCCGCGTGACAAACTCTCAACTGCCACAAGAAGCATGTCAAACGTTTCACTCGGTAAAATATTGAGAAATGAATATTTTCATTTCCATTGCTATCAGGTTCGGCCTCATTCCTCTGTGCTGTGCTGACGAGTCCACAAAGGACGAAACAGTTCTGTCCGCAGATTGAGTATTTCGCTCCTGCTCTTATAGCAGTTGAGCACTCTTGCGTGGGGTAGTGCCTTTGCTGTTTGCGTTATGCAGAGCTCACTGACTTGTCAGTTTGAGCACTCTGGCAAGGTACGTTCGGGCCTGATTGGAAATTTTTATTTCCATTGCTATCATGTTCGGCCTCATTCCTCTGTGCTGCGCTGACGAGTCCACAAAGGACGAAACAGTTCTGTCCGCAGATTGAGAAATGAATACTTATCAGTGGACGAACTGTTTCATCTCTTTCTGGGGCTATTTTTAGAACGTCACAACTTTCATGGGTGCTTTTTAGGTCTTCATGACGAGCTGGTAATGTGTGCGTGATTCCGCTTCATTCCAGGAGAAATGCTTCGTGGTGTTCGTGGCCTTCGTGGTATTGTTGTATCCTTGCAGTGGTGAGCACTCTAGCAATTTGGGAACTCCCACTGGTGAATTGTAGCATTAGTCACAATAGTATTTACACAAACGGCGAGGAGACAATAATTTTGATAACCGCAATCAATAAGACAAGCTAAATCGACATTTGTCACCTTGATTTTTGTGTACTTTATTCATGCAATGTAAAGCGGTGGAGACGCCATCGTGCAATAGAACGATGAAAGTAGGAGGAAATAGTGTAGAGAAAGATTAGGATTCAAACATTTTTTCGTACAACTCTCAGCAGGAATTGTCATTATACTAAAATACACTGAAACAAAACTGAACTATTATAGGAAACCTAAGTTAGAGAAATACCACCAAGAACAACAGCAGTGAAATGTACTAGTATTTAAATATTCGTCGAGGAGAAAACAATTTTAATATGGCAATAAGTAGGACGAGCTGAAGTGACATTTGAATTACTTTATAAAGTTAAACAGTGTAAGTGATGGAGACGATGCAAAAACAATCTAAAGGGTGAGGAAAAATACATGTAAGAAGAAACATGCGATGGAAAAAAAGGTGATTCGAACAAGTTTTCGTACAGCACTCTTCAGGAATCTCCGTTGTACTAAAGAACAAAATTAGAACAAAGGAAATAATAATAGCAGTCAAGATAGGGTAGCAGGATACAATGACAGCACTGGAATATCGAGGTGCGATTTCTCACAAAAGTGTGCTGAAAACAAGGGTATACAAGTAAGAACTAAGCGTGAAAAGTGTGTATCAGCAACAAAAAAGTGAGCACGAATTAGGCCTCGACCAAATATGCTAAAAAAGAGCATATTATGCTCGTCGCATATCAGGAGAGAAGACAAAATATGCCAAAGGCTTAGCAAGATATGGAAAAAGATATGCCAAAATATACCAAAATATGCTCGACATAAGCAGAAAGTGTAGATCATTTCAGTAAAATTACAACCTTGAAATATTCATTGGCTTCATGGCTATCATGCTTATGATGCAAATCAAAACACATGCGGAATAGTATTTAGAAAAGCGATCCTGTCAGCTTTTCTATTATTGTGTTCACATGGCAAGAAAAACGACATCGCTATGCTACGTAAGTTTCTACGTAAGGTGCTCGGTATTTCACTTAGACTACGTAAGTCTCTACGTAAGGTGCTCGGTATAGGTATACCAAGAGTCCATTATGGACTCTTGGTGTACCGGTATTAGATCTACCAACGGGTGGTAGCCGCGTGCTGTGCACGTGCACGGCAGCCGGCAGACATTGTGTTGCATGCAGTGCAGTCCGTGTTCGGACGTGCATGCGCGAGGAACTTCCTTCTTTGGAACTGCTTCTTGTATGAGCTGTTTCGGATATTTCGTCTCCTGGCCTGGCTTATTTCGTTTCGGCGCTGCTGAGACCTCCTTTCGCGGAATATTACTCAATGACAGGTTCGTTGACCAGTTCCCTTTGATTCATTTGCTTGTGTTCACTCTTTCATTTACGAAAAGTGTGCTGATTTTGGGCGGAATGCAATAAATAATGGAAAAGCTGACAGGATCTCTTTTCTAAATTTTGCTTTTCCGCTGCCGAGGTCTCCTTTTACGGAATACTCGATGACAGGTGATCGATCTCTGAGTTGACCTGTTTCCTTCGATTCATTTCCTTATGCTCACCCTTTCATTTACGGAAACGTGTGCTGATTTTATTCGGATTTAGATCCATTTTTATCTCTTTGCCCTTGTCTACAGTGTGCGAAGAACGCGAGTTCACCTTCTTGACGGTAAGGCTCATGTTAGATGTGTTGTCGAAATACTCATATTCATTGTACATTGGTACGTTACAAGTTAGGCACTGGTCAGTGGCATACCATCGTTGGCAGTTCCCAATCTGGAGGGAAAGGTTCAAGGACCCATTGAGTTTGCAAAATAAATTCGCATACGGTATCAGGGAAAATCTCCATTGTGGAGAGGTTCAGTAAACTTGTTTGCTTCATACGAAACAAGCCCATGGGTGCAGTCTCGTCTCGTGAAGATCTCGTACCTGTGGGATTGGATTTGTTTACTAGAGTCTGGGCTGTTTGATTTGTGAGTACCGCCGAGATTGCACTGCCCCAAATAAATTTTCGTGCCGCCAAAGCAAGAATTACGATCTGCAATCTGTTTGTAGTACCTGCAAGAATGTGCTGTACATGTATCGTACTTTCTCTATTGCTGTTTCAGTTGCCGTCATGTTGCTAAAGAAACGTTCAGTAGAGAGGTTCTGCAAAACGAAAATTCGAACGAGGTTTCGCGACAGTCCTTGCGAAAGTGTGTACAAATTTTTGCACGAACTTTGCGTTCTGCACATTTTCGTAGTTTGCGCGGGCCAAGTGCACGTACGCCATGACCCGATCTCACGAAATTTCCTACGACAGTTCATTTCGTGTTCCCTGCAAGTTTCGCGTCCAAAGTTGCGAAAGTTCGTGCGAAGTTTCGCACTTCATAACGTAGAACGAAAGTTTGTACGCGTTTTCGTTTTGCAGAACCTCTCTAGTGACTCATTTGTTTCATACGAGACTAGTCAATGAGTTGGTGTGGCTTAGAATCTTTCGCTATAGAAGAAATCTATTCGTATGTCTATTGGAGAAATAATTGTATTCACTGGTTATATATGTAAAATAGGTTAAGATAAACTCACAGAATAAATACCATCGTTCCCTTGGTGTTCGTCCTAAAGAGGTTCGACTGGATATCATTCATACTCACCAAAAGATGTGTAAGATTTTATCATTTATGGAGTGCCTTGTTTATCTCTCAGTACCTCCAAGCATAGCCTTGCCCCTTTTATCCTCAGGATCAGTGTAGTTGTTGGAACGAGGTGTCGGACTCAGCAATGTATTTGTTTACATTTTAATACATGTTTATTGTTCCTCCTTTGCTGTGTTGTTTTAGAAAATCGTGGACTAACAGTTTGAAGTCATTGAACTACTTCCAAAAGTTGTATCGACATCAACAGAATTACGATTTCAGTGCAATATGATGCAGGATGAGTCTGGATGACCTTATTACGATAACCCATGATTATAAACACAGAATCAACAAAAACATCTGCGACACGCACCTGGTTACATTTCTCAAGTAAATCTGATCCAGGGTGGGGAAATCTGAAATATCTGAAAGGCAAGACAATTTTATGACAGTCATGAAATTCTGCTACAGCAACATGCACAGAATGACCTCCGTATAAAAAGTATCACCACGGTCCATCACTACTCACATGTTTCCCCGCAGAAGAACATGCTAGCCTAGTGCCATTTTCTGCAAGAAAAGGCTTGCACCTCAATGCGTATAATACGGTATTGATATGGTGTGAAGGCCATCATTTACATATTGATACAGTACGAGGTGATTTGGCTTTTTTTAACATTTGGCATTTTTTAACAAATGTGTAAAATTTGCTTTTCTTCTGGCTGTTTCTCTGCTCCGGATGGCTGTATCGAAACATGGGTGGTGGCAAATGGGAGCCAGTTTATCGTAGATCAACATTGACCAGAAAATTTGGTGCATATAATTTAATTCTCCCTGCCACGTTGGTATAACTAGTGGTGGGTGCTTTGCCATTTTGTGTAAAATGTGTAAAATGAGCCCCTGAATGGACGAGGAGGGCAGTGAATTGCTTCCGCAGGGCCTTTGGACGACGTCAGGCCGTCTTGCCATCACTAGAGACAGTAATGAAGAACAGTAGGTCACGGAATGCACTCTGTGAGAACGAAAACATCGCTGCGATGCTATGCTATCTATCCAATTCCACCGTATAACACAGCCACTAGTTACAAATACAAAACACGGCTTTCGCAGCATACAATGCAGTTCACTCCTCTGTTGACAGATTAATTTTCATCCACTAGCAATCCTTGAAGTGATATCTATCAACTTCAGAACATTGATGACCGAATATCCCAGTTTGTGATGCCATTTTACAAATTTGTTAAAAAATGACACACCAATTATTTGAATCCTGAGAATACTGTGAAAGTAGGACATGATTCAAGACACTTTCCAAAGTGGGATCATTCCCATTTTTGGACACAACGGGCATGAAGGATAGCACTTCCACTTGCAACAATTCATTTGGACGTAGCTTGTCTAGAAGTGACTGAAAAAACGTCATTTTACAACCATGTTAAAAAAAGCCAAACCACCTCGTATAGGGCATTCCATTGATTGGTGACAGAAAAAACAAAAGAAATTATAGCAATAAAAACTGCTTTATGGCAGTTTTCTAAAAAAAGTTATTGTGTTCTAGTCC